CATCTTGACAAGGTGGAAGAATGGTCGAAAGCCAAACAGAATGTACTTGGAAGTGTATGGATGTGTAGGGACTGCAACATATTTAAGATGTTTAGACATGAAAAATAGCAGAGAAACAGGTGGTAAGTAAAAAGGACATGTTGTCAAGCCAGGCCTGCATTTTATGATGAGATTTCTTAGAACATTGAAGAAATGATCCACTATAGAGGAAGATTACTTGGGCTGGAGCAGAAAAGCAATGGAGCAAAGCTCTTGAGAAGGGGAGTGGGTGAGAGAAGACTTTATTAGAAAAAGGACACAAACAGGGGGAGGGGGGGCAGTGAATGGAGAGAAAGTAGAAGAGGGGGAGGAGAGGAAAACAGTTGCCACTAGGAAGATTGAATCAGGGTAGGAATAGAAGATAGGAGAGAGAGAGAGACAGAGAGAGAGAGAGAGAGAGAGAGAGAGAGAGAGAGAGAGAGAGAGAGAGAGAGAGAGAGAGCGCATAAAAAGGGAACCAATATTGGTTTAAGAGAAAACTTCCCAGACAGTGAGATCAACAGCTAAATTATCCATGGAGCCCTCATCTAATACCTGTTGGAAACAGAAGCAAACACCCATACCTAAACACTGAGTCGAACTAGAATCCAGATGCAGATGGAGAGGACAAGACCAGGCTGCAGAAACAGATAGAGACAGCTTACCTGAACAAGGAGGAGCTAACGGGCCACCAGACTGATAGCTGGGAAGCCAGCATGGGACTGACTCAGGCCTCCCTGAATATGGGTCTCAGCCAGAAGGACTGAGCAGTCTAAGGGACCTCAGACAGTGGAGCCAGGATGTATCCCTGGTGCACAAAAGGACCTTGTGAACACATACCCCATGGAGAGATACTGCCTTAACCTAGAGACAGGAGAGAAGCCCTAGTCCCTACTTCAAATGACTTGTCAGATCTACATGACCCCACCTGGATGGCATTGCCCTACACATGGAATTGAGGTGGGGGGATGGGAGGGAGGGTGGTCAGGGTGCATGTGAGGGGCAGAGAGGGTAAAAAGGAGGGAGGAAGAGAGGGAGGGGGAACTGGGATTGGAATGTAAAAAAATAAATTAAAAAAAGAAAAAGAAATGCTGAGGAAAAAAAAAAAAAAAGAAAAGAAAAAGGACACAAGTAATAAACTTATCACAAAAAAGATCCGATTCAGCAGCACAAATCTTTGTAAGAAGTGAGATCACATCATTTTAGTTTAATGGATTACTTGTAATTTTTACATTCATGGTTCAGTTGTCATGTTTTGACTACCATTATGAATTTGAATGTTTACTACACTGGCCCAGTGATGACTTTCCTGATCTCAGAATAGGTGTGAAAACTTTTGTTCTTGTCTTAAACATCCATGGATTGTTTTGCTTCTTCTGTTTTCCTTCTTGCCTCTTCTCTCACAGCATGAGATCTGTACTATGGCTAAAATCTTCCAGAGTCAGTACTTCAATAGGAGTCTTCAAGCTCAACTAAGGCTTTAAGAGGAAACCAATACTCAAAAGCACCATACATTGTGAATATTAACCTAGTAGATAGCAGTAACTTCAAAAGCTCAGGCTAATGACAGCTATATAGAAAGCACATGGGGGAGCAGAGGAAACATGCAAACATGAGGATGTGAGTTTGATTCCAGCATCCATGTAGTAAGCTTAGCATGGTGATGTGTGCTTGTAATCTCCATGTTGGAAGGCAGACACAGGAGGATTAATTGGTCAGCTCCAGGCCAATGAGAGATGCTGTCTCAAAACACAAAGAGCACAATGCCTGAAGAACAACAACACCTGAGCTTGACTACTGGTTCCATATGCACAGGTGCACAAATGCACATACAAAGAAAGTACATAAATAATATGATAGTGATGACTGTCCAATAGTGCCATTGTATCCAATATTGAAGACTGTAAATCTGTTTTGGTAGTTTAAATCTTCTAACGTCTGCTATTTACGGTAAGCAATGGCTAAGAGAAACAAATACTTCTCCAATAAAAGCATAATTCAATTGGAAAATTAAATTGAGAAACAAAATGGTATATTTTAAAATGCAGTTAAAAATTCTGGCAATTCAATTACATGTAGGAGCAAATAGATAAAAACATCAAATTCACAGATATAAAAATATGAATTTATAAGAATACTATTGATTTTTCATTAAAGAGATAATTTCAAGTAAGTTATAATAGTGGGTGATATTTAGCACACAGAGAAATGAATATTTTTGTGTGTGTGTTCATATGTATGTGTACGTGTGTGTAGAGCAGAGGTCTACATTAGGTATCTTTTTCAACTTCTCTCTACCTTATAATTTGAGACATGATCTCTCACTGAACATGGGGCCACCAATATGATTAAACTGGCTGGATAGCAACTCCCAGCAATCCTCCTGCTTGGCCTCTACAGCACTTGGATTTCAGCTGGGTACTACTCTGTCTGGATTTACATGGGTGCTGGGTTTCAAACTCAGGTCATCAAGCTTACACTTAACTTAGCAATTTCCCTAGCCACAAAACTGTTACTTAAAAAGAAATAAGCCACACATTATAAATTTTTAATTGTACTTGTAGAAATTTGTTTTAAGGAAATAATTATAGGATTAACAAAGAGGTTAAGGAATGTATAGTTAAAAATTTTTATACAAAGAAAATCTAACAAAAATTCCAACACCAGGTCAGGGTTCTCCAAGAGACTGAGTCCCAAAACATTATAGGTTATTGCCCTTGATTGCTGACCCCCATCCCCAGGTGAAAGGTCCCTATTACTAAAGACACCATGCTCTTCAGATGCAGGGCCCAGATGTCTCTGAACTGGAACTGGCCTGAAGACCTACTCTGATGATTAGCTTTCATGGAACCAGAAGGTTTCATGTAAAGAAAAGAAGAACAGTCATACCCAGCCATGGTGCCTATGAACCACACTGGCCAGCACGGCACTACAGGTAATCTTAGGGGTGCAGTAGTGGCACACAACCTTGGCTGTACCAACAGCTCTCTAATTAGACTTAAGACCCACTCAACAAGAGTAAAGTAATACCTGGCACTGGAAACCTAGCCAATTACCCATGGCTAATGAAGTCATGGATCTTCAGAAGAACCTACAACCTCCACTATACTAAACCAGGATAATCCCTAACTATATCCTAAATGTTTGTCCTTATACTCAAAGAGTGTAAGTGTAGTTCTTACTTCTCATCAAGGAAGCTTCTCTTTACAACAGAACAAGACCAACACAGAAAACCACAACCAATCAAAATGCAGAGTTATGGAGGGAGTCCTGTTCCAATGGATATACCTATAAAACAACTCCCTTGGCTAATGCTCAGAGAATACTGTAGAAGGGGCAGAAATGGTGTAAGGGCCAGGGATCAAGGAGTTTGCTATAAAATAGTATCTCCTAGTAATAATGTCACAAGCTACAGCCATAAAGTCTTACCAGCATAACTGCCTGAACGTGAGTTGAACAAGAACAACAACAGATAGGCCAAAGTAGATGGTGAAAGTCCACAGGCCTCAACCTTACACAGAGAACTACAGGCAACTATGGAATACTGAGAGTGAGACACCAGGGGAAAGCACATCAGTTGGTGATTTAATACCAAACAGGTAACCCTGGAACATACATACAAGTAACAGACTGGGCAGGCTATACATATACATATACATATACATATATACGTATATATTTATTTATTTAATATATCGACCCCAGTTCTCTTTCCCTCCCTTCCTTCCTCCCTCCTTCCCCTCTTCTCTCCCTCCCTCCCCTCTTCTCTCCCTTCCTCCCTCCCCTCTTCTCTCCCTCCCTATTCCCCCCCTCCCATCCTACCCCACCCCCACTCTACAAGGGAGGGTGATGCCTTCCAGGAGGGTTCAACAAAATCTGTCAAGTCATTTGGAGTAGGGACTAGGCCCTCCCTCCTGCCTCTAGGCTAAGGGAGTATCCCTCCACGGGAAATGTGCTTCCAAAGTCCTTCCGTGCACCAGAGATACATCCTGGTTCCACTGTCAGAGAACCCTTAGACTGCTGGGCAGGCTATATTAAGGAATATATATGCATATACACATAAGCATGTTAATAATAATTAATGGAAAAAGAGGTCATGCATTTGAACAAGAGCGAGGAGGGGTATATGAAAGGGTATGGAAGAAGGAAAGGGGAGGAGGATATGATATAATTATAATTTCAAAAATAAGACATAATAAAAAATGATATAGCAGCTTAATGGAGTATTTGGTCATTCAAGATACTGAGGTAATATTTAATACAATGATGTATTTTTTAATAATATCAAGGTAATATTTGTAATACTGCAATGTATACAATAAAAATAGCTATACAAACAATATACACGACATATTCTGGTATATATACATATACAAAAATTATATTTAAGTAAAGTAGGCAAACGAATTTACTAAGCCAGGGGAGAACTTTGCAGGGAAGCAGGCAGAGGAGCTAAGAGAATGCAGAAGGAAGATGTCTATTCTGCACTACGTTCTACCTGTAGAATAAAGCTGTCTATAAAGGAGTGAACACCACAGGGCCACAGTGTCCAATCCAAGGAACTATCAGGGAAAGACTTACATACCTCACCCCCCTCAACAGGATCAAGGGGCACCAAGGTTGCATTAACCATACACAATTCTTTCACTTGAGGTATTTGCATGTTGATGTGGGACCTGGATGTGGTAATGCTAAATGGATAGTTGGGAAAACAATTCTTCAGAGCAGTAACTCTGAGTGCCTGCTACAAACTCTTGTCTTATTCACCAAGTAGGATTTTTTATTAGGAGAGCAACTATAGTTCCTTGGATATTTTTTAATACCTCTAAAAAGAACCCTTACCAATAAAACAGGTGCTTTTTGTTGCTTTTGTTTGTATGTGTTTGTACTTGTATGGTTCTGAATGAATTAAAATCCAACACTGGCAATCAAGCAATGTTATTGGAGCAGAGACAGCACTATCCAGATGAGACCACATTTACCTTTGGGTTGTTGGCATCAAACAGACCAGTTGAAAGTCCAATCAGTAAGGAATTCTTGGTTTTAGTTTTTGGTGGTGAATCGGAGCGGGATCGGAGTGAAACTGTTACTTCTGGTTGGCAGTGAGTTGACTGAACTAAACTCAAGTGTTCAGAATGAAGTACTTTCTGGAAAAATGGTTCTGGTTGTACTGACTTCCCCACATCACACTCAGACTGCTGAGAATCACCCACTGCAGGTTCTGTGGAGCAAAAGGAAGTTATACCATCAATCTACACAACAGCACTTAAAGATCAACAAGTATCATATAATATTAAACGTGAATCCCATCTAAGGGGCTGCATACATGGCTAAGCATTAAAAGCACTTGCTGTTTTTGTGGGGGACCTGAGTTTGGCTCCCAGGGCACACATAGCAGCTCATAACCATCTGTAGCCACAGTTCCATGGAATCTGCCATGCTCTTCTGGCTTCTGTAGGTGCCAAGACTACACATGGAGCAAATATTACTTCTATGCAGGCAAAACACTCAGACATACATAATATTTTTTAATTAAAAAATGATTCCATCAAAAAACCTCAATATCAGGAAGACAATATCAAAGCATACAAATAAGCATACTGTATACTACTTTATAAATTACCTTAAAACAGATATACTGTCTGATTTTAATGATTTAATTTAATATATATTTTCTTTACATTAGAAATTTTACATTTTAGAAATCTAAAGAAATGTAAAAAATACAGTCTAGAATATCAAATTTTCAGATTGTTTCTATAGAGTGGAGAAATTGTTTATATTGCTTTATATTTTAACCAACGGTATTTTAAAAAGAAACCAGTTTATTCAGTGCCCTTAGTATACTGGTTTTGTTTTAGCAGTACTACTTTTCATTTTCAACAATGTAACTTACCAAAAAGTTGACTGCTTATATTACCACAATACCAGGCTGGTTGCTTTCTAGGCTATTTTTAAAATAGAATTATATGACTTATAAGAGATGCTCTTGCCAGGTGGTGGTGGTACATACCTTTAATGCTAGCACTTAGGAGGCAGAGGCCGGTGGATCTCTGTGAGTTCAAACTCAGCCTGGTCTACAGAATGAGTTCCAGGACAGCAGGGCTATTACACAGAGAAACCTTGTCTCAAAAAACAAAGAAAAGTACTCTTAAATATGATGCCCAAATTAGACAGGCTGGTTTTAAGAAGTGTTCCAGAAAGAATTAGACTAATATATTGGAGCTTACCTATATGATCCTCACAAGATTGGTTCACATTTCCCGGAATTCTAGTCTCACAAACTTCACTCTGCTGTATGGCAGCCTTATCTTCCAACCTGCCACAGGCAGGTAAATCAACAAAATAAACAAACACCACATGTGTATTAGAAATAAACCCCTTATAAAAAGAAAATGAAACCCATATCTACTAGTATCCTGAACTCCCTTGTCCAAGTATTTTTCTAATTTTCACATAATACTTTATCTTGTAAGCATAATATGTCTTCTACTTTGAGCAAAGTGAATCTCTCACCAATTATTAATCATTCATTCATTCTGAAAGTTTACATTGGTCAAATAGCTAAAGAATGACTAAATTACAAATGCAATTCACCAAAAATTGCACCTCTTTGTTTCAAAATAACACACACCTACTTTTGCAAAAAACACTTTATGAAAACTATTACTCAATTCAGCATCACAGTATGTAGTATTAATAAATAATTCATCAAGTAGTAAGTTCAATTGAGTTGTCTTATATCCATATAATGGAATATAGAGAACTTTCATGTAGTAATGAGAAAACTCCCAGACTACAAACTCTTTTAAAAAGTATGTATTTTTTATATGTGCCTGTAAGCGCGCATGCACATGCGCACGCGTGCCATGTGCGCATGCCTGAGCGTATGCATATGCATCACATGTACATACATAAGTGCAGAAGAGGGCATAAGATACCCTAAAACTAGAGTTACAAGGGTCTTTAGCTGGCATGTATGTGCTGGGAACCAAACCCAGGTCTTCTGCAAAAGCAATAAGCCCTCTTTACTGCTGAGCCATCCTTCCTAGCTCCCAGACTATTGATTTTTATAAAAAAAAAACAAAGTGAGTATGGAGAGGTGGCTCAGTGGTTAAGGGCACCTGATGCTCTTTCATGAGGATCAGAGTTTGGATTCTAGTACACGTGGGTCAGCTCATAAATACTATACGTGCAGCTTCAAGGGATCCAATATGCTCTCTTGCCTCTATTAAGTACTTGTGCACATACATGTGAGAAGATACTTGCAAAGACACACACAAAAAAGTTTAAAAAAACCTGAGGTGGAAAGTATTATATATATCAGCAACTGCAGTTGAAATGGGATGACAACTATGTATTTTGTTTATATATAATAAAAATTATCAGAGAAAGATCAGAAATTAGCTGAATGGAAATACAGGCTGGTAAGACATTTACCATTTATCTTCATATAGTTTTTGATTTCTGACTCATGTTAAGATCTGTTAAGAAATCAAATTACTTTATCAGGTATTACAATATGAAGTTATTAAACTATAATACTAGTTCATTGCAGCATTTCTTATTAAAGAGTTTACTAAAGGAACTTGGTTTTGAAAAGGAAAGAAAAAGACAACATACTCAGTCTCCTTAGTTGCTGCTTCCTCATTAATCCACACATCATTAACCACCTGTGGCAAGTTCCCTTCTGCGTCTGTGCTACTTGGCTCTTGCAGAACTTCTGTTTCCAAATCCTCAGGTTCTTCAAAGATCAAGGGATATCAGAGCAAAGTTGGAGAATGGACTAAATGAACTTTCTGTAATTATCACTACAATTAGTTTAACTAATGCTAATTATATAAAAACCAACTGTTTTAAGCTTTTGTGCTAGTTCTGTAGCATAGTCATTTCTTCTTAGTATAACAAAAATACCTGCCTTATTAAAATTATAGTAATATGTAAATTAGCTTAAAGGTATTAAAACTGAAGAATAAAGATACCTGTTGTTACAAGTATGGGAAAAAAGTAAGGAAACTTTAATCTTTAAAATCTACCTTCCAACAACCACAAAAGAAAACCAGTCAACTGAAGAATAAAGATAGCTGTTGTTACAAGTATGAGAAAATAGTAAGGAAACTTTAATCTTTAAAATTTACCTTCCAACAACCACAAAAGGAAACCAGTATGATTACCTGGACTTTTCCAATGGCCTTGAAAAGAACTGAAGTGTCCTAAATCAACTTTCTTATACCCTCAAATAGCTATGGAAGTCTTTAAGAGACTCATCTATCTATCTATCTATCTATCTATCTATCTATCTATCTATCTATCTATCTATCATTTATTATTTATGTGTGCATGTATGTGTCTGCATGAGTCATGAGTGTATGCACATAGGCAAGCTGTGTGTAAATGTGCAGAAGCTAGAAGAACGCCAGATCCCTTAGAGCTGAAGTTATAAGCACTTGGCAGATGTGTTGTGTGGGTGCTGGGATTCAAACTCTGGTCTGCATGACTGCACAGCAAGTACTTAACTGCTGAGTCCTCTCCCCAGTCCCAGTGAGACTTTTGTTTCCTGTTTGAGATCATATACTATCTTACTTAATTCAACATCATGCCCACTTTTTCGTGGAATTCAGACATGCTTTTCTTGTCTATTTTAGAATTTCTAAAGATTTGCCCCATTGTGAAAGACAAGAGACATACAAATTCTATTAATTTTCATCTGTTGCCTACATGAATGTTTAGGGCATTCATACAAGGTAAGGACTAAAGAGGAAGATTCTTTTTTTTTTTTTTTTTAAATAGTTCTATTCTTGTTAAATGGAAAAAGAGAGGGGGTGGCAAATGGGCTGGCTGTTTCTAGAAAGAAGCTGACATAAGTTTTCCTTCAGGGATGGGTTTTATCGAGAGAAAAGGCTTTGAGACAAGGTAACATGAAAAAGGGACAGCACCCTTTGTGGGACAACATGGAGAGGGTCTTACAGAGGAACGCGCACTTCCCTGTAGAATGCAGAAAGGAGTTTCAGTAAGAGAGAGACAGCTGTCTTGGACAGGATGACAGGTGAGGGGCCACTTTAGAGAAATCCCCCAAACACAGGAAAATACACAACCTTTCTATCTTTCAGGGGCTGGTAGGAAGCCCCATATCACATGATTTTGTTCAATGTAGCCCACTGACAAGGAACATGGAGGGGCCTAAAACAACAGCACAGATGGCTTAACTTTCTGTCCCAGAGAAGGAACTGTAGGGGATCAAGGCCTGGTTGCTTATGACTCTGGGCTGGACTGCTTAGAGAGATCAGCTTCTTAAAGGGGCAGGCCCATGATCTAACAATGCCCTAGAGATCTTCAGCTGCATTATAGCCAATGTATTCTACCCTATAAACTCAATTTGTGACCATACTTTTCATAAATTCATAAAATATTTACAACTCTTTGCAGGAAAAGTTAAGTTTGCCAACCCCCAAACTAGGTTATATAGTCTCCAATTTGCATAACCACCCTACCAGTTAATTTTATTTCTTTTTAAAAATTTTATTCTTAATTTTTAAGAAGGGTAGAACACGCTGTCTTGTTTAGGCTATGATAAAATATCAGACTGGGTGGCTTGAACAGAAATTTATTTCCCTTTGTTTCAAGGGTCAGAGAATCTAGTATCAGGATCTGGAGAAAGGTTTTCCTTCAGGTGAACTGACAGACTTTTTCTTCCTGTATTTCTAGCATGGTATAGAACAAAAGGCTGGTTCTTGGGCCTCTCTTTAGAAGGATGTTAATGCCGTTCATGAGGCCTCACACAGGGGATTAGATTCAAACATTGAGGAATAGAGACATCATTCTGTAATAGCCACTACCAGTCACGCGCTTCTAGCAAATACAATTCTTATACTTTGATGAACATGGTTGCATGCTACAGTCTCTGATAGTCTTGTTATCCAGGAGGCACGGTTTATAATGAAATACAATGGAAGTGATGCTATTCCAATTCATGACTGGATGTTTAAGAAAACTGGCAAGCCCCTGGTTGATATCTACAAGTCAAAGCCTCATGAAACAAGTTTATTTAGCCCATGGCACAATCAACTTGTGTGTGGAAGGAATGAAGAAATTTTTAGTTAATAAGCAGACTGGTAAGTTAAAGATGGTTTCAAATTCTTCAATACTCTTCCTTTGAGAGGCAGGTCTAGTTCCCTACCTTGGGTTGACTCTGGGTTTGTGACAGCTCTGACCATTAGAAGTGCTAAGGGTCCCAGTTCAGTTCTCTGGTTAACGATAAAAAGCATACACAGCTTTCACCATAGCATCTGGGATGGCTGTAGAGCCTTTACAACTTTTCCTTTTCAGAGGTGAATCTATCTCCCCCACCTTAGAACCTCCGGGTCATCAGAGAATAAATCACATAAGACAGGAAAAACAGGTGCTGGTTGTTTTCCAGAGGACCCAGGTCCAATTCCCAGCACCCACATGGTGACTCACAACCACCTCAAACTTCAGTTGCATCATCATCTTCTGGCTTAGGCAGGCACCAGACATACATACAGGCAAAAACACCCATGTCCATAAAATAATAAAAGCTTTCTGAAAAGAGGAAGAATAAGGAAGGGGACCAAGACTCCTCAAAAGGGGGAGTGGGGTCTATTTTACTCAGCTTTCAATGTGTACCTTCCAGGATGGCAGAGAAGCCAACAGGTAGTTTCACTGCCAGCTGAGTATCACACCACCTGATCTCTTAGGCAAAGACACAACGTATTAGGGAAATCACAAACCCAGTCTTGACTCAATCCCTGATCCATAAAATAATGAAATAGAGCAGCCAGTCATTAGTATACATGGTCATATGCCTGTAGTTCTAAAATATCAGCATGAGGGAAACCCTGTCTTCTAGGAGACATCCTGACCCATCTCATGAAACTCTTGAAAATTCTTGGTCTTAAAAACCAAAAACAGAGCTGGGCGTTGGTGGTGCACGCCTTTAGTCCCAGTACTCGGGAGGCAGAAGCAGGTGGATCTCTGTGATTTCGAGGCCAGCCTGGTCTACAGAGCTAGTTCCAAGACAGGCTCCAGAGCAATACAGAGAAACCCTATCTCAAAAAACAAAACCAACAAACAAACAATAAAAGAAGAAGAAAAAAAGAAAACCAAAAACAGGAAGGAAAAAAAGAGAGTTACTGAAAGTATAAAGACAGAAAGTCTCATTGGAGATGAATTATTAAAAAGTACACAAATTTGGATGATTTTTTTTTTTTTATGATTTCAGTATCAAATGAAATTTAGCTCATTTTAACGCATTGCAACATACCTTCTACACTTCCTTCTGTAACTAGTGGAGGGGCCTCTCTAAACTCTGGGCTCTCTGTATCAATAGAATCAACAGTAGCTGATGGGTTTACTCCTTTTGAAATACATTCTGGTTTCTCTTCTTCAGTGACTAACGGTTTGTAGTTTTCCCCTTCAGAATAAATTTCTGGAGAAGCAAAACAATGAAAAGGCTCAAAAGGTTATGAAGTTACTTACAAACAAACAATACAAAAAGCAAAAAACCTAGATTGTTGCAACCGGTGGTTACTGGTGAAGCTCTTTTAGACACTAGAAACTAATAAATGATTTAAGATAATGTGATAGCCAAACTTCATTTCATGACTCCCAGAGTGGTTAAAAGAATTTGCATTCTTTTCCTTTGGGGGAAAATTAATACCTGTATCAGAACTGAATTTTTAAAATTATTAACCAACTTTTTCAACCTTTTGTTTCTTATATGTAGTTTTTCATATGCTAATTACTTCTAATTTGCTACAAACACTGTTGCTGTTTCCAGGAAAGAACAGATTTATCATAGAACAGCTAACTATAGTTATCTATTCTCATCATTCCTGTATACCAACTCCCCCAAATTAATTGTCATAAATAGGTAATTTTATTGTACAATAAATAATCCTGCTAATATACAGACCTCTCAGTTCACTGAACTATCTCACTAACTCAGCTTTTCCTTAAGTCATATATTAGAGACCTTATTAATTATGTATCCTCAAAATTCCAATTAGGAATTTCCATCTCTAATTTTTAGTGCTTTTTTTTTTCATATCCTTCTACTACAGATCTTTTGAAACAAGGTCTCACTGTGTAGCCCTTTCTGGTCTGGAATTCCCTTGTAGACAAGGCTGGCCTTGAACTCAGAGATCTGTCTGCCTTTGCTTCCCAAGTGCTGGGATTAAAGCATGGACCATCATGCCTGGCCCTATTCTACCTTTGTAAAAATTTGATTTTTTTTCATGGACCTGAAAGAGAAAGAGGAGGGAATTACTGAAAGGGTTTGGAGGGAGAAATGTTATAACGTCAAAGTTTGATTTTGCAAGCACATTTAGCAACTGATCCTGACATACTTTCTTCATCATCCCCATTTACATCCTTCTAAAAGTCATCAGTAAGAATTATTCAAATATGTATGTGTATACACACACACACACACACACACACACACACACACACACACACACTCTCAGCTTACTGAACTCACTTCATTGTACTCAAGTGGAAAAACCCTAAATTCATTCAATTTCTTTACATTCCTGGTTGACATGATTGGAGAAAAATAGAAATCACTGTCAAGTGACCTCAATTTCAATTCATTACTTCTTTTTATGGTTTACATATAGATGGCCAAAGTGTCCTCTGAAGATCCTCTTTTCTGAGTATGATGATGGTAAAGTGGTAAGACTTTTAAATGGGAAGCCAGTGACTTACAGCTAGGAGACTCACCTTTAATGAGATCTAACAACCTACTTTTGCCTGTTAGTAATAATGTGCACAGGCTCTTTTCATGGTCTATTTCTTAGCATACAGCTGACCACCACAGAACATGTCAATATCCTCATGTTCTAGGTCAATTTTTCATAATGTTTCGGAGATGAATTTATGCCAAACCTCGAGGAGCAACAGAGAATGTAAAAGATAACACACATGCCAGGCAGTGTTCGTATCTGGACATGGTTCCATCCGCTCCCTCTCTTGTGAACAAGCTGTGAGGTTGGAAGGCTTCTGTATACACAGTTGCTTTTCCTTGGGTGCTGCTATAACACCCAAACACCTAAGATTCATAACTCCAGAATACCTTCCTTCTGTCTTCTCCCTCCCTGTCCCAGAATGATATTACACATACTTACATTTCTTCTACTCAGTTTAATTCCACAATCTCTTCAAAGATACACCATGCATCTTAGTAAATTGTTTCGACATTTGCCCTCACAGAAAACATGATTGGATTTTTCCAGCCCCTCATGCAGATTTCCTATTCTTTGATTTCCTACAGGTCTGATAAAGTCAGAACTCATTCCTTCTTAGAAAAACCAACCCCCAGAGGTAAAATTTTCTACACAGGCAAATGGAGCCATCTTAACACATTCATTTTTAATAATATCCCTTCTTATGCTTACCACTTTTAGAAGCTGTGTTTTCTAGTAATTCTGTCTGTGGTTGGAGATCGGCTTCTCCTAGTATCTTCAGCACAGATTCTGTGGGGCTTTTCCCCCAGACTTTTCTTGGTGAGCCATTAGAATCTAACTTAATCACCTCTCCCACGGTATGTGCTGTGAGGAAAGAAATATATCTTCAGAGATAGAATTCTTCATTGTTTGGTAGATTTAATTTCTATTATCCAACTCTTTCATGCTAAAAGCTTATATAAAAATAAATCACAAGATAAATATACATATAGGCAAAAGGCAGAAAATAGTCTAAAAACTCTGCCTTTATTTTAGTTTATATCATAACCAGACAACTAATATTTCCTTTTTACAAATAAGTCTGGAAAAATAATTTAGAAAAGCAAGTCATCATAATATTTGGTAATAAAATATGAACATAGGGACTGGGGAGATGGCTCAGAATTAAGAGCACTAGTTCCCCACCCAGAGGATCCAGGTTCATTTCCCAACACCCATATGGAAGTTCACAAACATCTGTAACTCCAGTTTCAGTGGGTCTGACATCCTCTTCTAGCCTCTGCAGACAGCAGGTACCAACTGATGAACAGACGTACTACACATTCAGGCAAAACACCAATACACATAAAATAAAACCAAGATTTATATGCATAAGAGTAATACATATGATATATTATTACATGGTGTATGCTAATATGCCTTATAGTTGTGGGCTACACAAGGTGACTTTAAAAAAAAATCTATGAAGTTTAATCTTAGTTGTCAACTTAACTGGACCTGGAAAGCAAATCACAGAGCACACCTGTGAAGGTTATCTCAAGTGGGAAGATGCCCCTTCAGTATGAGCCATACCTTCTGGTGATAGACCAGGTAAAAGGAGGTTCAAGAAGCTTGCTTTTTTGCCTGCTTCCCTTCACTTCTCACTGGCAAGTTCATTCACCCTGTTGTAGCGGCTGCTACTTTTGCTGCACACCTTCACTGATTCCAGAGCCTAGCTTCTTTGGACTTCCAACACCAACCACAGACAAGCAGTTCTCTAGAAATCCTCCAGACCTTTCCTGCCAGACCGGGACTGTGGAAGCATCCAGCCCCATGCAGTGAGAAGCTACTAGATTCTTGGCCTTTCAGGAATGTGAGCTTTGGAAGACCCTAGTTGTGTCATATAAGCCAATCAAATAAACTCTCTTGTAAATTGGATCACTCTATAGGTTCTCTCCTTCTATAGAACCGTGACAAAGACATCATCTGGAAGATGCTTTTTAAGGACTCAGGTTATAGCATAAAGGGGAACAGCACACAGACTCCAAGTTATAAAGTCTCATGCAAATCAGCAAGTAATATTCAGTTTGGTAGCACTGACATGATTAGCACTTAGTGACCTAGGTTTCAAAAGTATAGCTAAGGTAAAAGACACACGAATCATGAAAGAGGATATAAATCTATTTGTTTTTCTAGTTTTATCCTTGTAATAGTTTTTTTTTTCAGGTATGGAAACATATAAACAAACATAATTGATAAGTGGGAGTGTAAAATCCAATATGAAGTCCCACAGCTTTTGAATGGCTATTTGAACTGTATAGAAGTTAGTTGAGATGTATAGACTTTGGGTGTGGTTAATTTTGCTATATGATGTTTTTTATTTGCAAGTTCTTTATAATAAATTTTAATTTAAAAAGGTGGTTTAACTTGGAAACAACTTTTCTATAAGATTAGCAAGCCCAGTATTTAGTTTCAAGCACTAATGTCAAAAAAACCTGTTGCTACAGAGCTATCTAAAGTCTAAAATCACTGACAAAAACAAAACAAAAAACAAGTAGTTAAAACAGTATATGAAAAAAAACAAGGCAAAACAAAACAAAACAAAAAAAAAAAAAATAAAAAACCAGCAGTAAGACTTGGAACTTAAAGTTACTTAATGGAAAAACTGAATGCCTACTAAAACAAAACATATCAACCCCTCCACCAAATCAAAACAATCCCTATAAAGGGCAGGGGTTGGACTGGCAGGGTTCAGTCTGAGCTGAAGACACAAGGCAGAAAATGGCTAATATCTGACATACATAGAGAAAAGTTGGATTTCACAAAGGTGTTGCACATTAGTTTGTGCAAGGAAATTACTGCAGTCTTGAAAGGAGACCACTCAAAAGGAAGAAGAGGAGGAAGACTTGGAATTTACAATGAGTGAGAAATAGTTCCTATCTCCACCAGTAAGAACAGAAATACTTGTAGCTCACAAGCCATCAGGCAGACTGTTCAGAAAGGGGAGAGATTAGCCATAGACTAAACACTGCTCTATTCCACTTCATAGAGTTTAGGAAGAAGGTCTAAAAGTATCAATATATTCGTAACTAACTAAACTGTATCCCAGAGCAAAGGTTAAGAATAGTTACAAAAATATATAAAGGTACATGAACTCCCCTGACTAAAATTCAGGGTTTTGTCCCTAAGCAAAATAATCAAGCACAATATGGCCAGCCAATCAAAACCAATGTTTAAAAGACAGAGATTATGAGATTACTCACTGGAGAAGGACATTTAAGTGATCACCTAGTTCTTGTGTTTTTGGGTTACTTGTGATCCGTCTTCCTGCTTTCTTAAGAAATAAGAAAAGGTGAGCATGGTGGCCTACACCTGCAACCTTAGGACTGAAGTTCTGAGGCAGGAACTCCTTCATGGGTTCATGCCAGACAAGTATATGTAACCCTGTCCCAAACAACAAAATAAAATTTCTTTTAAAATCAATTTCCAGGAAGCTTATGTGTCCGTCACCCAGCCTCTTATCCTGGCAGTGGTTCTCAAACTTCCTAATGCTGCATGTAACCTTTTAATACAGTCCCTCATGTTGTGATAACCCCAACCATAAAATTACTTTTGTTGCTACTTCATGACTGTAGTTTTGCTACTGTTATGAATCTTAATGTAAACATCTATGTTTCTCCATGGTCTTAGGTGACCCAATGAAAAGGTTTGACCCTAAAGGGGTCTGGAACCACAGGTTGAGAATCTCTAATCCAGAAGCCAAGTCAGCTATAGCCTCCTACTGCAGACTTCTTACAACAGGTGTTATGTGTCCTTTTATTTATTGACTATTTTCTAGTATAAAATTTGAGCTACCCACATAGAAAGCCCAGAATGTGGTATATGTTAGACAAGCTTAGTTATAAAACTTGTATGTTAAAAGGAAATGCAATATAGTTAAACAAAGGAAAAAAACCCCACAGGATTATCAGTGAAAATAAATTATGAAAATCCCACAAGGAAACTCATTTTAAATTCTAATAAAAAATTAAAAAGAAATGAGTGAGGTTTGTTATTCATTGTGGGAAGAAAATGATATATATACATCAGATTGTACAGAGATCTATAAAATAAGGCTGCTGAATTTACCAATGGTTTCTCAGAAGATTTGGAATCCATCTACCTCAAGACCCAGTGATATCACTCTTGGGCATATACCCAAAGGATGCTCAATCATACCACAAAGACACTTGTTCAACAATGTTCATAGCAACATTATTAATAATAGCTAGAACCTGAAAACAACCTAGATGCCCCTCAACCAAAGAATTAATAAAGAAAATCTGGTACATTTACACAATAGATTATTACTCAGCTGAAAACAACAACAAAAACCAATGACATCATGAAATTTGCAGGCAAATGGATGGAACTAGAAAACATTATCCTGCGTAAGGTAACCCAGACTCAGAAAGATAAGCACATATGGTATGTACTCACTCATAAGTGGATACTAGATGTAAAGCAAAGGATAATGAGACTACAATCCACGGCCCCAGAAAAGCTAGGTAATAAGGAAGACCCTAAGAGAGATGCATGGGTCACCCTAGGAAGGGGAATTAGATGAGATCTCCTGGGTAAACTGGGGGATGGGGTATGAGAACAGACGGGAATGGGATGGTTGAGATGGGGAAGGGATGAAGTAGGAGAGTAATGAAAGAGATATCTTGATAGAGAGAGCCACTATGGGGCCACTTGGGACTAGGAAAATTCCCAGGAATCCACAAAGATGACCCTAGCTAGTTAAGACTCCTAGCAATAGTGAAGAGGTTAACTGAACTGTCCTTCCCCTGTAATCAGATTGGTGAATAGCCTAACTATAATCATAGCCTTTATCAGAAATTGATGGAACTAGGTACAGAGATCCACAACCAAGCACCAGGCCAAGCTCTGAGAATCCAGTTGAAGAGAAGGAGGAGGGAATATATGAGCAAGGGAGATCAACATCATGAAGGGGAATCTACAGAGACTGCCGAACCAAGCTTATGAACTCTAGATCTACAGCTGTGGAGACTCTATGAGACTGAACTAGGTCCTCTGCATGTGTACAATAGTTGATCTGTCTGAGGGGACCCCGGTAGTAGGACAAGGATCTATCCATGGTGCATGAGCTGGCTTTTTGGAGCCCATTCCCTATGGTGGGATGCCATGCTCAACATTAATGCAAGGGGGAGGGGTCTGGTTCTGCCTCAACTTAATGGGCCAAGCTTTGTTGATCTCTATGGGAGCCCTTAACCTTTGGGAAGAGGTGAGGGAGGCCAGAAGGAGGGTGGGAGGGAGAACTGTGATTGGAATGTAAAATGAAATTAAAAAATAACAAAAGCACTCCAGTGACTGAATAGTTTTGCTCACTGATAGGAAAAAGTAAGGTAAGCAAGAACAGAAGGAGAGGAATTAGAATAAAAAATAGACATGCTTTTAGAAGTATGTTATAAAGAGAACTTTCGAAAGTAGGTGATAACTCACGAATTAGGATGAGGAAAAAAAAAAAAAAAAGGAATAAACATCACATAAAAGACCGGAGAAGAGGGAGGAGTGAGAGCTGTGGAAAGACAGAGTGCAGCAGGGTTAGGAGGTGGTGAGAGAGATGGTGAAGGAAAGGAAATGGATAGAGTGGCATGAAAAACACAAAGGGAGAACAGAGTCTCTTGGACCATGAAGGGGCTGTATTCTAACTGTAATGGAAATCAACAGCTCTAAGACAGCAGAGTGCCATCAAATACTTTGTTCTCATAATTGGGGAAAATTAATCTCAACTTTTTTTAGAAGGCTAAAATGTCTTTACATCCCTATCAAGTAACCTCCACCTATGTTTTTTATTTCACTTCCTATAAAGATCTATATTTTTTCTATTTCACCTTCCATTTACTTTAAAAATGGATTTTACTTATCCCTTTGGTACAATGACGACTAATTTCCTCAAGTTCACAATGCCTCTTCAATGGCAAACATACATAAAATAGCCCTCAATTTGTCATCTTTCTTCCAGAAATATTCTGTTCTCCGTTTTGAGTCAAACCATGTTTTCCTACTGTTCTGTATATTATTCCTACCCCATTTTCATGTGTGTCTAAGTATGCATGTATGTGGAAGCCAAAGGACAGCCTCAGCTATTGTTTCTCACATATTGCTATCCAGCTTGGTTTGTGTATTTCTTAGTACTTCAGATTGCTGTTCCTGTGTGCACACATGGATCCAGTCTTGAGCAGCTTCTCAAAGACTTTGGAAACTGAACTAACAGACTACTGTCCAGGCCCCAGACTACGAGTGTGGTAATATTTTGTTTATGATCTAACAAGTAAAGCTTCCCTGAAGATCAGAGTTCAAAGCTAGATACACTAGTTAGCCATAGAGGCTTGGCATTGGTGGCTCACACCGTTAATCCCAGTACTTGGGGTCACACACCTTTAATTCCAGCACTAAGAAGGTGGAGACAAGAAGGGATATGGCTGTGTGGAGAGAGAGCAGTCAGTCTACGGAAGCAGTCTGAGGATGCAGTCTAAGGAGCAGTCAGTCTGAGGATGCAGTCTGAAGACAGGATTGCCCCTTTGGTCTGAGCATTGGTAGAGGTAAATACACTAGTGGCTGGCCTCTTTGTTTCTCTGATCTTTCAGCTTTCACCCCCTGATAGCTGACTCTGAATTTTTATTATTAAGAAAAATTAGAATTCGTGCTACATAGGAGGTGGAATACATGCTAAGATCCAAAGAGCACTGACAGGCTATGAAAAAATGAACTAACAGCAGAACCGTGAACCACAAGAGAGAACACAGGATCTTACAGCTAACCCACCTTGGCCAGCTCCTGCTAACACAACTGTATCAACATTCTCTGTGGGATTTAAGCAATTAGGCAATCTTCAAGATGAAGACATGGCTAGAAATTATTTGACATACAAAGAAATACAAAATCTCAGCTGTTACAGAAAACAGTCAACACAATGTAACCCAGATGTTGCAATTACATAACAACTTAAAAGCAGCTATTATAAAAATGCTGCAGGAAGTAATCATGAGCTTTCTTCCAAGAAAAGAAACCAAATATATTAAAGTAATTACACAAAACTCAAATTCCAGTGTTTATAAATAAAAACTGTACAATAAACAAACAAAGCCATGTCCATATGAAATGGTGTTTTGTTCTACAGGTGTTAAAATTTATTGTAACAGATACTACCTTCTGATGTGGTGAACACATTTGCTGACCTTTTATTGATTTAAATGTATTAACTCTTTTTTGATCATATTCACCCTCAACTCCAGCCATACGTATCTTTCCTCTCACCTCATTTCATGTCCTTAAAAACAACAACAACAACAAAAACCCTCACTGAGTCAAATTTTTGTAGTTCATATACTCCTGAGTCCAGGATCATCAAAAGAGGATGATAGAGATAACAGGATTAAAGAAAACTGACTGCCTCTCCCCCAGAAGCCATGAGCTGTAAATAGGTAGCTAGAGAAGGAATCCCATGAACTGCTTCCCCCTCCATGCTAGAATGCTGACTGGCTTGATCTTCTATAGATGACCACAGCTACTGTGAGTTTACGAGTGAGTATTCCTGTCATGCCCAGAAGATACTGTTTCAATCCAGTCCTCCTCAACTTCTGGCTCTCAAGATCTTTCCACCCCACCATTTCCATAACAGTCCCGTATGCTTGTGTGCTCTCTACCCTCACTCTGTCGTGTATGTATGTTATAGTGTATGGTATAGATAAGTCTACTGGTGGCTGATCTCTGTGCTTACATGTATTCTCTGTACTTTGACCAGTTGTGAGTTTCTACATTAATCACCAGCAAGACCCCATTTTAAACTCTCCCTTCCATACTAATAAGTCTGAACCATTTCTTGGAGTCAACTGTAGAACCCATCATAATAAGGATCTAGTCAGAGAATTGTGTTTTGCTATCCATGCTGAATTATATCAAGTTCTCTTTACAAGACTGGGAGCTAGGGATTGTGGTTCACATCTATTATTCCAGCACTTAGAAGACAGAGGCAAGACAATCATGAGCTCATAGATAGAGATATACAGTGAGACATAGTGAGATCAAGCCTGTAACCTGAGTCCTGGTTGTTCTCTGTCTAAACCCTTGGTTGGGCTTTGCCTCAGCTAACTACTTTTACCAAGTACATTTTACAGTTTAAAGAAACTACTTCCTTGACTTCCAAAGACTCATTTCTGCCATTGGAAGTAGTCTCAGAGTAGCCCATTATTATTAGTGTGTTATCAATTATAATTGCTTTTCTACTGGTAACCCTTTCCATTATATTCTATCCTTCTGAAGAGGGACTATGCCTTAACTGTCATGTTTCTACTGCTTAAGAGTGGTTGGCATTCAGCAGATACTCAATAAGGAATTACTGGGCTTCTGAACAACTCAAAACCAGGTGAAACAAGCATTGCTCACAGCCACACTTGCCTATTTAGAGCGTGAGCTCAAAAGAACATAGACTTCTGTTTTGTTCATAGTATCTCTAGTGCCTAGAACAATGTAAGAATAAGAACACAGCAGATGCTTGGCAATTCTTGCTAGGTAAACTACCCAGCATCCAGAGGCAGAGGCAAGAGGATTATGAGTTCAAGGCCAGTCCTGGATACATAGTGAGTCACTGTCTAACCCACCAGGAAGTTCCTTCACTTCATCAAGAACAAACACACACAGATTAACATGGTGTAAAGGGTCAAATGTACAATTTAAATACATTTCCTTAGTTCTCCTCTCACTAGACTCTTACAGTGTTTTTCATGTTCTTTACATTTTACTGGAAGATACTATATGCCCATGTGGAAGATGTACAGAACTTTCCTACCTCCCTCAATCTATCTACATGCTGGTTCCTTGGGATAGCCAGGATTCAGGTTTGTGTGAGTGCTAAACCACAACAGGACATGGCCATGCTCATACGTACACTCAGTTGCAGAGAAGGACATATCAAGTGTCACTTCATCCAGAGGAATCACAAGCTGACCTCCGACCTCCCACTTCTTGCGGTCAGAGGAAACAGTATTTTCTTTCTCATACTCTTTGGCATCTTTATGAACAACAATCTCACAAGAATCGGAGTGATGCTGCTTTTCCTTGTCATCTTCTTGAGCTTTAAGATTTTCATTTAACCTACGCAGTATTTCTCGCTTACTCTGAAAGAGTTACACTTTAGTGAGCATATTATTAAATAAAATGCCCCACAGAATCTTTGAATACTGAACTTACTGAAATAGTGTTGTTGCTCTTTTGCATTTCTTCTGAACTTTCTTGGGTACCAGTTAAACTTCCTTCCTTTAAACAAGAGTAAGAGATTAAAACCATTGTAGAACTCTATGCTGAAACAGTTGATATTTTTGTTACTTTTAGTTCCTTATTTATCTTACCCCTATGAACTTTTCACATTCCTGTAAAATGTTAACATAGCTTCTTTCATTATCAGTAATGATGAACATTTAAGCATTGTCAATTAGTTAATAAGATTAATATATATTAGGGTCAATTCCAAGTTATATGTCATGTTTGTGGATTACTGCTAATAATGATCTCTTTGTCCTCCTTGGTATCTAATTTTTGATAATTTAAAGTCAATTACAGACAGATAAAGAAAATCCATATTATTTGTTTATTAGAGCTAGGATAAGGGTCATTATTTTTTGCTTAAAAAAATGGTTCTTGGGGCTAGAGAGATGGCTCAGTGGATAAGAACATTGGCTGCTCTTGTACAGGACCTGGGTATGATTCCCAGAACCCACAAGATGCCTCACAATCAACTGTAACTCCAATTCTAAAAGATTTAACATTCTCTTCTGGCTTCTGGGGGCACCTCTGTGCAGACAAAACACCCACATATATAAAACAAAAACATCCTAAAAAGATATGATCCTGGGGACTGTCTCAAGTAAGTGTTCTACCAACTTAGTTAAATTCTTAGTCCCAGGGTAGTGCTTTGGTAAAGAATTCAAGATGTATTATTTTGAAACCATCTTTTTACACACACACACACACACACACACACACACACACACACACACACACAGCCAAAGCATTAAACATAATTGACAACTAGCTTTCTTCTCTATGGGAGGAGGTTAGCAAGAACAGATTCTTACTCATTTGTTACAATAATAATGTAAATTCTGCTTCTGATTAGTATAATAAAGATATTCTTAAAAACTTGTAATTTAAAGTATATGAAAAGATTATTTGTTATAAAAGCTATGACTTTGTGTGACTAAATAATCTTCAAAGTTTTAAATAAGCAGTTTCTATAAATACAACACAGTAAGAAAAAACATTTAGTCTCAGAGATTATGTCAAATTTTACAGTATTTGAAAAATATAAAAGAATAGTGATCAGATTTAAAGTAACAAATGTAAATGAGACAAGGAGGGTTTTACCCAGGAAAGCAGTCAGAGAGATGAACAGCTACTTGAGATGTGAGACTGGGTACCAGGAAGGAAACCACACAATGGTATCTAAAGTTGCTGTAAACAATGTGGCATATGCAAAGTCATGATCAGAAACAGATAAAACATACTGGGAGAACAACAGATTCTTATACAAAGCTCTGAAGAGTGACCATGATACAGTTTTATACGTTGCCTTATTTTCAAAATAAGTGCAAAGGCTGCAAAAAAAAAAAATAATCTATATGGTAATCAATGACCTTTGCATCGTGAAACAAATCTAATGAATCCCAAGAAATACAAGTCACAGACTGCAGCTACTGGAAAGGAAAAGAGGTTACTAAGTTGTAGGGCTCAGGAGACTGTTTTCAGGGCCATTAAAGTCCAGCACGCACTCCACTTTCCCAGCCATTTCTTTTATCCAGAACAGTTTTTTTTTTTTTTTTTTTAGACAGGTAACCTGGTGCACACTTGCAAGTTGAAACTACTTGTTCACACATTTTTGTTTGTTTTATTATCTGTATTCAGAAGTAGAAGTTAAAAAATGAAAAATTACATCGAACATCATTTACCATGTTAGAAAGTTTCAAATAGTTGGATTTTGTTCCTAGAGCTAGTTACTTTAATTACCAACGAGATGCTATTTTTTTTAAAAATGTTAATCACAAGGGTTAGGGTATAAAACTGTTTGCCACATTATTTTCAGTATATTGCTTTCAAATGTTTTTACTAAATTCATTTAATGTGTGGGTATGCTTGCTGCTGCTGCTGGGGTTACAACTACATAAACATGGAAGTCGGAGGAAAATTTGTGGGAGGCAATCTTTCCTTCTACCATGTTGGTCAGTCTCAGGGATCAAACTCAGGCCGTCAGGTGCCATGGCAAGCACCTTTCCCCCATTGAGCCATCTTATCAGTCTGTCCTTGTTTTAACATAGAAAACAGAGTCATTTCAACATAATGCCCCTACACATGATCTCCCTAATCCCTTGACAAAATCCACGAGTGCTCTATTCTCATATTCAAAATGGTAAGTGCATATAACACATGTATCTCTTCCATGTACCATGAATCATCTCTAGACTGTTGCAATACCTAAAAGAATGACATGCTATACACGGTTTAACGGCATGAAACAGCATGCAGTACCACAGATGTCATCAGTATAGGCCTGTGTAACACACATCAGCAACAACATGACTTTCTTCGGACTGGAAACTGACTCTTTATAGGGACTCTCCAGGAGCAGAGTGCTCAAGGTATATTTAACCATGACAGAGTCCTGGATAAAATCTATGGGCAGAAAAGTTCCAATATTCAAAGAAAGCCAAAAGAAAAATTTCCAAGAAGATACTTTTTCTCTAGAAAAACAACAAAGAGGACATTAGGGACTACTATCAATTCATTAAATTTATTTTTATTTAAAATAACCTTTAGTCTCTGAGGAATCCTAAATTTTATGAAACTTACCAGGCCCACTTCTTTCAAAGCTGATGTCACAGAAATAACAGGTCTCATTTGCTGCTTTGATGGAGAACCCGAGGTTTCCTGATGCTCCAAAGGTGGAGAAACATCTGAACTCCTTACCCTCACCACCAACTGCAGAAGACAGAATACACAGCTAAACACACCAGGTTTATATCTTCATGGAGAAATAAAAGGCTCAAATCTCTTTTATGCATAGTACAGATAGTTTCTCATTCCTTAATTACTCATTGGGTTGGTCACTATGATATATGCTGGTAGAACACTGAACAAGAAAATCCTCTGGCTACATATGGAAATACAGCCATGTATCTGTCAAATACTTCTAAATAAAATTGGCTACCACTGCAATAGCAATGCCTTATAAAATGATGCCTGCCCTCTCCCCCGACACACAAAAAGTCTTCTATGGTCACCAGGAATGCTCAGTAGTTAAGAGCATTAAGTTACTTCTCTTACAGAGCACCTATGGTGAGTTCACAGCACCAATACAGTAGCTCACAATCATTTGTTAACTCCCGTTTCAGGAGATCCAACGCCACCCTTGGCTTCCATGGGCTCTTGCACACACTTGGTGCACAGCATCTCACACAAGCAGACACACATACTCATAAAAATAATATAGACAAAAACAATCTATGAAAGTCTTACAAAACATTCACTTCTAAACTATTACTTTATTTTAATCTAATACACTATTTGGTGTAAAAGTAGTTTATTAATTTTGCATTTCAGAAAGAAATGCTTCTGAAATTTCTACCAATGTACTTTTCTTTCTTTTTTAAAAAAAAAAAAAGTTTGAAAACCCATCTTTCAACACCAGGGAACTTATACAAATATCAACATGAAAAACAATGGATGAGTGACAGGTCCAGAAAGTAAAATTTACCCATTATATCAGTGTTTCTTTTTATTATGTACTAGCTATTGAGACTCTAATAAACAAATATTGTGAGCTTAAAAATTTATTATTTCATAATAGTGTGGATGTGTGTGGACACAGTATGTGTGCATGTGAGCCAGATGAATCAAGGTTCTCCAGAAGCTAGCATTTCAGGAGGTTGAGAGCTGCCTGATGTGGGTGTAGAGATATTCAGGTGCTCAGGTGTTCTCCAAGAGCACTCCTGAGCCATCTTTCCAGCTCCCAAGACAGTGAACTTTTAAATAAAAAAAACAAACAAACCAACAAAGAAACAGGCAATGAAATTAGGTGTGCTATTGGTAGCATGGAGTGAGTTACTGGTTACTTTAATGCTTTCTCAATCACTAAGACTTTCAGTAAATATATATTTCAGGAAGTATTTACTTAGCTATGAATAAAGTGGTAATTCTAATATTTAGGCATCTAGGGTTTTTTTTTGTTTTGTTTTGTTTTATACCAGTATCTATCCATTTAAACAATGGGATAATTGACTTAACCACAGGTCAATATAATTAATTATACTCATTTCAAGATGTGAAATAAAAATTTAAAGTATCTAGAACTCATAACAACCAAGTATTCTCACTGTGAAGGATTATGCTAAAATATTTTTCAACTGTTTTGTTAACAAAAGAATATATATTCAAGGCTTCTCAGATTCTATGAAAGTAGAAATAAATCCCAAAATTGTCCTATACAACGTCAGCATTTTAGAATATATTAAAAGTTATTTTTAAATTAAATGATTTTTACAAAAACTGGAGCAGACACCTGTAAATCAAAATTAAGGAACTGCTTAGAAACACTGCTGTTGTGAACAATAGTGACATTTTAGACTCTCGTGCCAATTCTCTTGAAGAAATACTTTTTAGTATTTCAATACATGAATCTAATGTGATTCTTTTATAAGTAAACAAATTCATAGGACTTGATAGAATGTGCTAACAAACTGAAGGTTGCATTATGTTCCTATCTGCACCAAATGCCATCTAGATAATGGACGCCATAATGAGTAAGACTTAATGCTCTTTCATCAAGGGTGCAAACTATAATGGAAAGGGGTAAGTGTAAAGGAAATCTCTGTTAATAAGAAATGCTAAGTAGTCTGACATAGAATGAAAGAACAACAAGAAAGAGCAAGAACTGACCGTGTAAGCCAGATGAGGTGAAGACAGCAACCTCCCCAGCACCCAGAGCCTGAACAGCTCTTCAGATCAAAGTTGGACACTGCTGCACTCAAAGCCTCAAACTTACTAGTGTTGCGATTTTTCATTACTTCTTGGACTCTCTGAGATTCAGTTTTTTTCCTCTAACAAAAGAGTTATATCCACATTTTCTCTTTTCTGAAGAGATCAAATTGATTAAGTTGTGTGAAACACACAACAATTATTGATTTAACCTTTAACAAATAAGGTCATTTGGTTTAAGCAACAAAAGCTTAGATTGAGCTACTGATTAATTAATTTGCAGATATCAACTTTCTGATGTTTAGAATGCAGAATTAAAAACAAAAAGTCATCAGTGTATAATCGGTGTTTAAAGTTTAGGCAGAGCACTGGACATTTTAGAACAGAAGTTCACAACACACAGTTATCCACAAGTCAAATACTTTACAAAATTCAAAGAAAACTAAGATTCAAAATGATCAAAAAGTAATATAGTTGTATGAATAATTAAAGAGAAGTAAGACTATATATAAATAAAAACAATTTCACAAAGGAAATTGCCCTTAGTTCATTTCAAGTCATGATTTTAATGCCTTAAAAGTCATTTTTTAAATCATTAGGCAGGCACCTATAAATAGGGGTATAAAGGAAATCCTTTAAAAAGAAAAAAGAAAAGACCCATACTCTCACTGCTTCAATGAGTTACACTTCACTTAGCCATAATTATTTTTGTGTTTATATGGAGGCCAAAGATTGATGTCACATATCTTCCTCAATCATTGTCCAACTGATGTTGGTGGTGGGCTCTCACTGAACCTCTTGAAGATTCTTTCTAGATTGGTTGCTCAGGGAACCAAGGATCTTCTTTTCTCAGCCTCCCTAGGACTGGAACAACAGGTGTGCATTGCCTTGCTCAGTTTTTACAACAGTGCTGCGGATCTGAATTCAGTTCCTTAGGCTTTCGATAGCAGGAACTTTGCCACTTGAGCCATCTCCCTATCACATACTTGCTAAAGAGTTCATTCTGGCTAGGATGTAGTTCAGTGGTAGAATAGCTGTCTAATATGAGGAAGGAATTGATAAGTAGAACCAAAAAATTAACTTTTTCTTATCCACGTAATTCCTATATACATAAGCACAACTACTATATAAATAAGATACTAGTGCAACTCTGAAAATGTAGGCACATGGTCTCAGATACTCTAGGGAGGGCTGACGTCGGAGCTGAATTAGAGTGTCTAGCATTTGTCTAACAAAGTCCTGGCTTCCATCCCTAGCACTGCATAAACCTGGCTTGCTGGTACATGCTTCAAATTCTAGTACACGGTAGATGAAGGAAAAAAGAAGTTCAAAGTCATCCTAAGCTACACACTAAGTTTGAAGATAGCCTGGGCTATGAGATTCTGTCTCCAAAACAAAATAAACCAAAACTCTCATGCAATACTTAGCTTTGTTCCAAGATCAATATGGCAAAAACCTTGAGTGTGAAAATTCTTTATCTGTCTTAATATTTTTAAGGAAGCTATAAAACGTAATTAGTAGAAGTATTTCTGTATTAAACTTAACCTTTAGAGAAGCCGAAATAGACAAGCATGTAAGTTAAGATTGCCAAGTTAAACAGGGTCTGACACCAGAAAGTAAGAATCAAGACAAGCTATGCTTATGTGAAGATGGAAGAGCTCAAGGGAAGTCATTCTTAAATTAAAATAGTCACATACTCTTAAAGTAAGGTGATAGTAATAAATGGTAACTATCAAAGGAGAAGATATTTCACTGACCCCTCAATTCAGAAAGCTATCAAATGGGAAATAAAAAACTGAACTCCAAAACAACAAAGTTTTTTTCAATCTTCTCCAGGGAGAAGTTCTGGTATGTTAGCCAGTACTATGTGGTCAGCCCTGAGCACATACAGATGAGCAACACTAAATGGATCAGTAGGTTGTGTGTGTAAGTGTCTGTATGTATGTGTAATGATAATTAAAGAAAATGAGGTCATTGACTTTGACAGGGTGTGCTAATTAGCAGGAATTAGAAGATGGAGGCTACAGAGTGAAAATGGTGTAAATACAGTACTCATATATGAAATTCTCAAAATGAAATAGGTGTAAAAAAAAAAAAAAAAAAAACTGCTGGTGGTGATGTCAGCAGAGCAGCAGATGGCAGCTGACTTCAGGAGATTAGCCAACCAAGTTAAAACAAAACAAAACATGATCAGTGGATCCAAGACAGACAGGCAAGGCTCTGAGACCACAGACTATAGAATGTCTGTTGCTTCTGCTATGCTCTACATGTTTGCTGCTTCCAGCTTTCTCTGGTATCTGGCATGGTGTGGATAGGTGTGGGGAGATTCCTACTGTCTATAATGTAGTGTGTTTATCTCATGGAAGCGTCCTGTTCTACTGGGCATTTTACCTGTGGATTATTATGAAGATGATTTCTTCTTAATTTGTACTTAACTGATATTAATGAAAGTTTAAATAGAGTTTTGATGATTAAAAATAAAACAAGGACGTGTCACACACGAGTTTCTTATTGAGGAGCCATAACCACTGTAGCTCAGGTTAGTCATTAAGAAAAACGATTTGAGTTTCAGTAGCCTAGCTAGCTTAAATTCTTTTAACCTTAATGTTAGGAGATGGTGTTCACAGGTTTTGGAGTACATCATAGCTGAAACAAAGCTTTGAAAATAACTTAATGTTAGACTAAGATGTTTTTGTTAAACAGTTTTGAGGTGAAAACTCATGAAGACAATCTAAAGTTCTAGAAAGGCACATAACTGAAGGAAGAATTCTTCATTAAGAATTAAGGTCAGGGAATAAGAATAAAGTAGCCTAAGTATTATTAGTTGATATGTCTTTTTTTGACTGTTTTTTAGACATAAAAGTTTAGGTTTGTGATTCTTTTAAGATTCCTTATAAGATTACCTTTCAAGATAAATAACGAACACAAAGCAAAAAACAAAAAACAAAAAAAAAAAAAAAAAAAAAAAAAAACCTGAGAAGAATATCTTGCTTGCTTACTCTGTTAATCTATGACAAGTTGCTTGGGTATGAATGTATGAAGGCTCTTGGGGATAATTTGTTTTTCACCTGTAATACATAAATTGTTTAATTATGTTAAGGGATATGGAAAACATGTTTTTTTTTTTTTTTTTACTTGTATTCATTGTAATCATTCACTTGGAAAAACAGTGTAACCATATTGTATAGAATTTTCTGGGGTAAACAAGCTGTAAAGAAAGAAATGGAAGGAGGAGGAAGAAAAATAGAAGAAAGCATCAAGAATGAGAGAATTTGGAGGAAGTGTTAAGAGAGTTGGAAGGAAAACATCAAGAACAAAGTTAGAGTTAGAAGCAAAATATCAAGAGAGACAGAAAGGACATTTCTTGATAGAGATAAGAGGAAAAATATCAGAAGAATAAAAGAAGGAAACCATTAGCAGAGTGTGTGAGTGTCTTTCCCCTTTAACCCACTTTGATTCCCTTTGAGCCCTGGGCTGCTGGAGGCTGTCTGCCCCCAACCCCAGGCAGTGATAAAAACAAACAAAACAAAACAAAAACCCACAAAGTTTTATAGAAGACAAACCCCATAAAGTCTTAATAACCAAAAAAGTCAATTTTAAAAATGAAACTGATCACATGGCAAATTAAATTGATTGCATGGCTAGAATATTTACTACCTTCTAAGCATAGTTTTACAAAACTCATCTAGTTTTAAATATAAAAATTTTCAACAGGACTAAAACATTGATTTGAAAGTCAGATTTGTGTATGTTTGTGTATATGTATAAATATATATGCATGTGAATTTGAGACTGACATGTTTGGTGCCTACTGTACATATACATGTATGTGTGTGTATGCACACATGTCTCACAGGCTGGCTTCTGTCTCATGGCACAAAGGCCAGCATGGACTTCAACTTGTGCCTTGCCTCCTGAATGCTGGAAATACAGGAAAGAAGTGCCATATTCTGGATAAGACATTATTTTTTTTCTTATGGTACTAGGAAATTGAATCAAGGGCTTGGCTATGCTAGGCAAGCCGTGATTGTTGAGCCATATCCCCAACTCTTAGAAGACAGGCTTTAAAATAAACCTATGGAAGCACAAATTTATGCCATGTCCTCACAAGCTTCACAAATTTAAGAAATTTTCAAATTACACCATCATAGGGTTTCAGTTACTACTATACAATTTTCTGTTTCATATTTAATTTTACTATGTGCTGAAAACTTAATCAGTAGTGCCACCAAATGACAAAAGAAAACATGCGACCAAAACATGGAGCAAGCTTTACAAACATAAGTCGTATGGATTTATCAAGTGTTAAGTCACAGAACAGTGACCATCACTCCACTTCTATTTGTGGATTAATAAGCATGAGACAGTATGTCAGCTCCATGTCAAAGGGGTCCGACTTCATATTTTGAATACAGAATAATTTCATATGTAGTTCTGTAGCACCTAAGGATATGTCACAGCTAAACTTCTTTTTGAAGAACAAATCCAGACTAATTAGCTGTCAGAACTAAGATCAAAAGTCAGATTTACCATTCCAGACATTTCCCCTCCCTATAACAGGCTCTTTCAATAAACAAATACTTCTTAACAATCTTCTATATACAGATTTGAAATAAGTTGTCATAAAATTCCCAACAAATTTATCCACATCATGACAAAGCTAATCCTAGGCTGGGCTTTCTGAGTTATATGAATTTGAGCGGAAGAGGCATACTATTCTAAGTAAGTAGAGCCTATATGTCCAGAGAAAACAGTAACATTTGATAAAGGTGCTATGCTAGTGTCCTACATGCCAATCACTGAATGAAATGAGACCCAGACATTCACCCTATCTTGGGGGACACAGGCAACCAAACAAGTAGAGCCTGCTGCCAAAGGCAGCCTGTGTATGCATATTGATGGGAGCAAATAAATAGCTGACCCAGAATCTGAGACTGTGGGGGAAACACATGTCAAGCACAAAAAGTGGAACCCATGTATCAACTATTATGAAATATCTGATGTTCAGTGAGACTTTTGTCTAAATTCAGACTTAAAAAATAAGACTGGACTACATATAAGTTCATCATATTTGATGGAGATATTACTACTCCACCTACTTTCATGGTCTATGAAAAATGTTAGAATGGATTAATTAAAAATAAGGAAGAACAATGGCCTTGACATTTGCAATTGTGATACTGTACCTGAACATGATGGTAAAAACCTCACCATGATAAAGACTTACAAAAACACATACACCCCCCCCCACACACACACACACCCACACACACAGAGTTTTAGCCTGCTATAATCTTTGTCAATGTGAAAGGTAGCATGTACTAGTAAAGCTTTTGCTTCTTGTGCTGAAGACATAATCCTAGGAGACATAACAAAGACTGTTTTCCATCACAGGTTATGCATGCCCCCAGAAGTAGGCTCACAACTATTTTTGAGGGCAAGGAAAGTTTGGAAGAGATTTGGGTAATATAAGAAATGACTGCCTCTGACTGTCTGAACAGTGATTTCTACTTTTGAAATGTTAATGTGCCAGTTACTGCTGCTGACCAATGCTGTATGATGCTATCCATGCCTGAAAAGCAAGGAACACCACACTAAGAACATGAGCCAAATATGAAATCAAATGAAGAGAGGTGACACTCTGGCCAGTGGACCAGGGAATCATTCCTAGATATCTGAAAAGATGGGACTGTACCATTATTCAAACCTTGTTTGTGCTAAGTCTAAAATCTAGACTAGAAAAGGGATGATAAGATGAAGGTGAGTTCTCCACTGTTTAGTTTTGAAGTTAAAGAGAAAAACTTAAGTGACAAAGACTGAAGAACTTAGAAAAGTTATATCCAAAATTACATTGGATGTTAAAAAAAACTTATTGAGAAATTTTTAGTATTATTTCTGAGCTCTAGAGTTCTGATTCTTTCATTTATGATCTTTGAAAAAAAATCAGCTCAGTGAGACATAAACTAGTATTTCTTCCTATTACAGCACATAGTGCTGTACTGCATCATTTCTGTTAAGGACAAGAACAAGTCTTCCCTATTATCACTTAACATTGTCTGAGACATTCTATGACAATTAACCTAATACAGCAATTAACACAATAACAACAAAAGACTAACCTTTCAGAAAGCAGAGAAAAATTTTGTAAGAATTAAGACTTTGGCACCAGAGAACCCAGGGCCAGTCTTAGTTCTGAACAGAACTGTAAATGTGACTTCATGTAAGTATTTTTTCTGCTGTGTAAAATAGTCAAAATTAAAGGCAAAAACAACATAATCACAGTAGTTACAAATGCCTGCAAATTATAAATAATAAACTAGAGTATCTCTTATAGCATATCATAGCAATACTGTACTCTAAAATCCCACAAAATTAAAAGAAAATTATAGATCATGAAACTTACTATGACCTAAACCATAGGCAAAAATCTACAATTTATCCAACTACAAGCTATATTCTGTTGGAGATAGAAAAAATAAAATTATAAATAACCTACAAGTAACTTTTATAATAAAAATTTTAAATACAAAAATTAGGATATAAAATAATGAATAGACACCAAAAATGTATAAACACATCATTTCTTAAATTTAACTCATAAGCTTAATGTTATACCTATACAAGTTCCAACAGGATTAAAACAACAAAAATCACCATAACAAAGAAAAAACAAAGCATATGAAGGAAGGAAAGAACCAGAACTGTGAAAAGGAGGGTAAGCTCAAATGAATTAAGAGTACTAGGAGGAAATTCAAGTATATTCTAAAGCTACAATCACCAAGTAGGGCAGGCAGAAGAGCAGAAGAGACTCACACACAAAGACAGCTTTTCTGAATATACACGACAGAGCCATTTGTAAATATTTTAGGAATGTAAAAGATCTTGAAGTAGCAGTATAAATCTGTGGCAGATTATTCTTAAATTTGGAAGACAAAGGGTGCTGGGGTGGGGTGGGGCTAGAAGGGAGAGGAAAGGGTGAGAAGGGAGGGAGAGGGAGAGGGAGAGAGGAGAAGGAACAGAACTCAGGAAAAAAGGGCTGCTACAGCTTGGTCATGGACACTTGCCTATCAAGAGCAAGGCCCTGGGTTTGATCTTCAGTGTTTCAGTGTTTACATACCTCAGTGAGAGCCTAGGGCATGAATTGGATTAAGCAGAGTCTTACCTGCTCTTCCCACACTCTCTTCTCTCTCTCATAGGCTTCTTTTCTTTTTCGCTCCAACTGCTCTTTTAGTACTGCAGCACGTGCATTTGTTTGGGCCTGAAAATGAAAATCATTAATGAAATGATAGTTATCAGAAGGACAATCTGTGGTCATAATCCTCCAACCTGGCTCTAACATAACACCGTCTTTGGGCCAACAAAGTAGAACATGTGTGGTTCTGAAATAAAAATGTATACTCACTCTATACCCCTCTAACCATGGACAATAGGGATCAGTTTATATTTGCCAAGTGAAAATAAGTTCAATACATTGGAATGGAAATTAAGATGTAAACATTAAAGACAACTTCTATACATAATTCCATTCATCTTCAGGGAAACTTGTAGATTTCATTTTTAAGGCTACTTTTTAAAGATATATAAGCCCAGCCTGGCCTCAAATTCATGGCAATTCTCCTGTGTCAGCCCACTTAGTGCTGGGATTATTGGAGTAAGCCTATTCTGGCTATTTCTTTTACAGAATTACATGTGTCACAGTTTTATGTATTTGCACCATAATTTCACGTACTTGCTCTTCATAAATATTGTATAAAGAAGAAAAATGCTATTTTTCAGACATTGTAAGGTGACAGATAAAGGGAAACCAAAAGTTAAAGCAATATAAGAAAATGATCCATCTATATAAAAAATTTTTGAGAAAAACTTTTCTCTCTCAGCTTTCATTTTCCTAAGAAGTTGTATTATGTAGTCTATACCTTAAGTAACTCCATCTTTTTGAGCCTCAAGTCGGCCTCTTCAGTTGCTTCTGGTCCTTTGGTACCATTAGCTTCTTTCTAGAACAATTGTCAACATACCACTTAGCAAATAGCAGCCAATCTCAGCGCCATGTGTGCCTGAACTAACACCATGTGAAATGAAACCATTGAACATGTCAGTTTTCTCCAAGAGCTGCAAATGAAGTCTCCAGAGCAAAAGACCAAAGAGGGATGATGTCAAGTGGTCTTTAATCCCTTTTGGGACATTAAGTATATTCTCTATTAAAATTCCTATGGAACAAATGATCTTACCAATTGGAAATCATGTATTTAAGATTTAGTTCATCCCTATATATAGTTTTCTGGTCTGTTGACCTTCATTTTTCTTTTTAACAATTTTAACTTTTATTATTATGGACATGGCATACTTAAACTTAATCTCTTACAGTTACTTTTTGAAAAATTGATTTTTACCTACATTCTCACCACGAAGTTTGGCTTTAATCTGTTGGCGCTCATTGAAATTTTGTAGTCTTATTTGCCTCAATCTTGCCAGATAAACCTAAAACAGGAACAACAACAAAAAAACCAAACATTCACTTAAAAGGAAAACTATGAACACTTTTACTGCTAAAAAAAAAAAATTATAGAAAAGTGTTAATCTGAATATAAGAAACAAAAGTTCTGAAATTTGGTTAATGAAAATGAAATATTAGCTTTCAAGTATTTAATTTAAAGCATTTTTCTGCAAAGAAAGAAATATGTTATAATTACAAATTTTTAAATTATATCAAAAGAAAAGAAATCAAAATTTAGGACTGAGTAACAGTTATGGAGCAAAATTATGACACAGCATGTCAGTCAAAATATATTAACAGGTTCCTATAGACTTACAAAATCTTAAAATAACTGTTAAGCATTTTAACCATGCAAGAAAAGAAGGCGGTGAACTAAAAAAATGGCTGCGTGGCAGAGGTTCTGAGCATGCGGAAAGCATACCTCTTCCTCATTGTTCCTTGGCTTCCCTCCTCTTGAAGAGCTGGGCCTGCCTCCATACAGAGATGCCAGGTTTTGCAGGATTCC